GAATATGCCGCGCACGACTATCGTACGCCCACATGTAGCGTTTTCGTTGAACCTCGCACGGTTTTGAACAGTCTTGCAAATCTACCGATCGTGCGCATTTTACATGACCCACTGTCCTTCGAACACATTTGAATCCAGTTCTCCAGTTCAGATTCAAATCTAGATACATGGATACCGTTAATCACACTATCGGTTTGCACGTTATCGATTTGTTTTTATGGCTCACACTATGTACTACTTCTTGTCCCAGATCGCACTTTTCTTACACCACTCGATTTATCTTCACATGAGCTCAAGCTTTACCTTGATTTGGTTATGGGGATACTTTATTCCCATAGCATCCCTTGACGAAATTGCCCTAGGTCACAGCGATACCGAACCAAACAGGAGTAAGGATTGTCTCGCAAATCGTGAAATGATGGAGAACAAGAATGTGATGAAGGTTGGGGACAAGAGAGGCTGCCTCAGATGATCTGCTGTGCATGAGCTGCCGCTATCGCTCCATATGTTCCGAACAAGAAGCGGGCCGCTGTTGCTGGATTGACCTGAGGCATCGACAAAGGGCGAAGTGACAAGGGCGAACCAGCTTGAGCCGAAAGCAAGCTGAAAAGTACGTATGAAATCATCAGGTCAGGCATTTAATTTATGATGATAAAGAATCAGCTACTCAAAATGAGCCTTGTCTAACTCGCTGCAAAATTTTTATCGAATTTTTCGGTGCAATTTCGTTCCTAAGGTTTGGTGAGCTTGGTGCGGTGGTGGCGCTTTACTAGTTCCATTTATGGAACGGCTTTCTTTGTAGGCAGTTCAACGGAGACAATGATGTCTCAATATAGTTCCTACTCCTGTGGAAGCAGTTTTCGTAAATCGACGTTAAGACATTAATATTTCAATTCGTTTACCTTGAAGACATTGAATTAAGTCGGTCGGATGAGGATAGCGAGTGTCCAAAAAGGCCGGCTCGGTGCATTTGGAGAGCAGCCGTCGGATCCTCGGTTACTGCTTGTCTTTTGAACTTATTACGCCGGTTTTGGAACCAAATTTTAACCTAAAAATCACGCAATTCAGGGTTGTGCACTCTGGATTAGCAGGTTCTCAGAAAAACAATAAACATGTGGAAAAAATATAAAGTGCTCCGCTCTTTCGCAATGTTCCTCGGGGCTATGCAGATTTTCGAACTTCTATCTCGTACTAGTTGAGCTCTATTTACTGAGCATGGTCATAGGATGGTATGCCATTAACAAACTCTTAAAATTGGTATTGGGCCCAATTTGCTCCCTGTGGCCGCCTGACACACATGGGCTATCAGGAACTTCAGAAGGAGGTTTTCCGGGGATTCGGTTCCTCGACAAAATGTTTTATGCTGTTACAAATCTATGTAACATACTCATGAAAAAACCTAGACTCCGATTCTGAAACTAGAAACTAAATGTACTTTCACTTTGAGCTCAGAGAAAGCAGCTATAGTGTCCATGTTCGACTCTCGGTCAATCTTGCATTACGATAGTTACTTTCAGCGAGGTTTCTTGAGCCGCAACCAAGATATTATGAACGTTTTACTCGGCTAACGTTTCGGCCGTATCGCCTTCGTCGGAGCCTGGAAAGCCAAAGATAAATGCGATTCACCCCCAAACACCATTTCAAACTTCAAGAGAAATCCCATAGACCCAATGTCTCTAGGAAGGCATCACAAATCGTTCTTTAAGGTGGGCCCTAGTGTTTAGTGATTTGTGATGCCTTCCTAGAGACATTTGGTCTATGGGACTTCTCTTGAAGTTTGAAATGGTGTTTGGGGGTGAATCGCATTTATCTTTGGCTTTTCAGGCTGAAACGTTAGCCGAGTAAAACGTTCGTAACATCTTGGTTGCGGCTCAAGAAACCTCGCTGAAAGTAAAACAGTTATAGTTCATTCGAAAAAAACCCGAAAATTTCATTCGAAAAAGAATTCACGGAACATCGTGCACGCCCTATTTGATGCTATTGACTCCAAGCGTTTCAGGACACTATCTGGTCCTTTTTCCCTTTACAACTTATTTTTGAACAATTTTCGTCCCCCTTACCTTTTTATGGCCCTATCACTTCTACTACATGACGGTTTTCTGTCATATTCACCATATATATACTTTTAGACATGACAAAGACAGAAACGAGAAAAATAGTGATTTCATTGGGAATACAAATTAAATATATGATGTTTATGCTCGCCGAGCAGCACGCGACGGTGAGCATAAAAAGGCGCCGGCCACACGCGCCCGCCACGAAAATTGCGCGGTCCGCAAAGGGTTGAACGGGTCTGAACTTCACACACGACACTTCTTCAGATTTTGAAAAAGAGTCCTGGTTCTTGACGCAGGGATTGCTCCGACCCGGTTCCCGTCATCTCCTGTTCATGCGAAAGTACCGAAGAGAGGTCGTACTTTGACATGGGGTGGTAAAAAGCTTTAGAAATATTCATAGTGCAGTGCAGGACAAAAACGAGGTCATTGGATCGTTTCGGCACCAACTATATGACTAGCTCGAAATCTTTAGGTAGGGTTGGTAGGTATTCAAGTGCGCTCCTACTGCGACTCGTCACCCTTTCCACGTAGGAGAAACAAAAATATTCAAGGCAGTGAACACGATGGCTGGAGGGTGGAGCGCTGTAGATGATGTCGCTGTCCATCATTGGTGCCGAAAACTCCTCATCGGTGTGGTTGGAACCACCTCCATATGCCCTTCCACCCGCGTCACCCAGCAACCTTAATAGACCTTGCAGCCATCGTGTTCATTGCCTTTAAAGGAATCTTGCGCGGAAAATTCTTGCACTCTTTCCTAACATGAATATGTCAGTTGTGATCACTGGAAATAGCACACAAAGTTTCACGCATGAAGATTTCGGTTTCTGAAGAGAAACAAACGTACAAAAACTACACGTTATGGACCATCGAAGGACCAGGAGGCAGAGCCAGGCGAGGCATGGAAAGAAGACGGCGTTTGGCCGGCTACGTACCAGGCGACGCAATGAGAGAATCGGGTTAAAGCGCGCGATTTCGGAGAGTGGAGACAAATCGATCGATGGAATAGGATGGAGTAGAAGTGTAAGATGTGAATGCAACGAAGCAGAAGGCCAGAAAGAGCTTCTAGTGAATGCACTCCAAGAACCAAGTTTGAGCATCCCCGTCGCCAGCATTCGTGAAAGACGTCCGTGGGCAATTCGAACGCGTAGCAGCCTTTTCGAGTTTTCGAATTTCTAATCAAAACGAAAGCAATACTTCAGTTCTTTTCATTTATCGTGGATATGTGGTTCA